TTCAAAATGGCCACCACCATTTTGAAGATGGCACTGGGCAAACACTGTTTTAAAATGACAAGTTTCGAAGACTCACTGTGGGAAATAGCTTTATAGCTGATATGCATGTCTAACCTCTAGATAGCCCAGGGTAGCTCTAGCTGTAGCCCAACGCAAAACTGAAAACTTAAAATAGCATTTCAAGGATGGTGTGTGTACATTTTTTTAAAGCTTGATTATATGGTTCTTGAGTATGAACAAGTGTCCTGTCAACATGTCAAAAGGATGGTTGCATGAGTTTAGGAAAATAACATTTAACCTGTAGCCAACAAGGACAGAACTGGGACCCATGAATACATGCCTAAAACTTATTAACATATAAAAGCTGTCAGTCTTGTTAAGCTGACACCAGGAAAAGATAATTCACATTTATTTTAATGTAACTTCCAAGACAAATGCAATGATCCCCACCCTGCTAAGGTACGAGTTTGGAAGGGACCCTTGCAGTGAGAGCTGCAGCAAAAGACACAAGCAACTCAAAAATTTCTGCACATCAGAAGACAAGCTGTGTTGTGGCACACAAAGGAGAAATTAAGTGTCCATATTCATTTTGGAATCCCAAATGAAATTCTCAAATACAGACCCTACAATGAGGAGGTCAAGATCACAATCGTGGGTCTCACTAGGAAAACAGACTATAAAGAATAGCTGTGGTTGGTGAACATTATATGTACCTAAAGTTGGTAGCACCACTAGATTACTCTAGGTTTAGCAAGTTTACACTAGGTACACACCCTGGTTCAGCCCTGTCGTCCCAGCTATCTGGGACTACTGACAGGATTGTGTAAACATGAAAATTAAAGCCAACCTAGGCCACAAGTTACCTATCATCTCCAAAAAAGGAAGTAGAGTTATAATCTTAAGTGAGACTGAATAACCACAATCAACTTTTAAGTGTAATTAAATGAGTTTAATTTAACATAGGTTAAACTTCATGACATTTTTTTAGTTCAACTTAAATCTTCAAATCACCTGTCCAAAAAAAAGAACACTTATCAGTAACATTTTAATAGAAGTTTTTTAAAAACACATTTTGGAATCCCAAAATACAACCACTTAAATTATTCAACAGCATTTATTACCAATTATATCAATTTTACAGAAACGAGATCACTAAGTTTACAGGACACATTCTCATTTATACCTAATTTTAAGTAGCACACTTCATATATTTTAGGTAACATTTCCATAGTAATTGTGGATCTCAGAAATCTATGATCTACGGGGCAGTCTACAATATTTTGAATAGGTCTTGTTAACAGGTATTTTATCTGAGAAATTAGCAATTAAGAAAACTGTCTACATTAGGAACATCCAAGACTTACAAAAGAACTGACACACAAACCTGAGAGTCGGTTACTACAATGGGCCCACAGAAAATACTGTTTTTCTCAGACTTCTCATCAGCCCAGCACGTAACCTGCCATTTGTCATAGAGACTGACTGACCTCATATTTTCAGTGAATGGGCACAGATACTTCAACTCATTTTCTAGACTTTGCTGAGAAAGAAGTCTCAGCAAAGTGTGTGGCAGATACCACTATAATGAGTGATTCAGATGCTATTTCTGAAAATGAAATGCTGATGTTTCTATATCTTAAAAGCAAGATTGAGCTGGGGGAAAAAAAAAAGACATAGGTAGCTTTTCTAATGTAGTATTGTGCCAGAGAAACACATCACATTATACCACAAAGCTATCTCTGCTTCAGGCCAACACCTAGTGCTTAGGAAATGGCAAAGCAATGTTTTCCTGACCTTAAGAACTGCTTTTGTCTCAAAGTGTCCTCAAGTTCCAGCTAATAATAGATACATACTGATTAAACCTCATCCTTCCTTGAGCAAATAATATCAACTTGCCTCAAGGAAACTGCCGCCCAATTTAGCTATCTTACTATGGAAGGGCTACTATTGCTTTTACAATTCTAGCAGTCCTTGATTTGGTAAGTGTATCTAAAGGAACACTGATTCTGCTTGATCAGGGTAGTTAGTCTGAGACACTGATTATTTTTCTTAGCGTGGGAAGGCTTTTCCTAGCCCCTCTTGGAAAGTTGACCATAGGCAGGAAGCTTCCACCCTGGCATTACTGAGGTCAGACAGTGTTCGCTTCGGGAGGTTTTGTCATCGTGTGCCCACATAGAGAGCAAACTGTTGATGGAGACACTGCAATTCGGCCTTTTATTGTCATCATTCCTCAGCAGCCATAGGAAGAATCATCTGGGAAGAAAGGTTTAAGACCCCAATCAATTCAGCATGTAAGAAACAATTACCTGCCAAGTGAGACCATGTGCTCACAAATATGGTTTTCTGCTGAGAGAGCCAAAATATCAATCAATACTGCAGAGTGAAAAGCCAGGAGAGCAGGAACCACAGCAAACCACCGTCTGTGTCATGGACACTGCCTCTTTCAACCACTGCCTCCAATCTTCAAAACACTATTCAGAGTCAGAAGTAGTCCACATGCTTGTAATCTCACCACTGGGAAGGCTGAGGCAGAAGGATGGTGAATTCAAATTCAAATTGCATTAAACAGTGAGACCCTGCCTTAAAAATTCTTCAGTAATCGTAAATAATTAAAAACAATTTACCTCGCCCTATCACAATATCCTTTGTAAAAGCCATTTACTGTTGGAATGATGACATTTTCCCTGGTATGTCTTAAAAGACAGCACTAATCTACTTGGTAAAGAATTCCTATTTGCACTGACCACAGTGGTTCAGTAAGAATTTGTAAACCCAACTCTGAGTCTCTTCACATAAGACAGATTTTCTACTTCAACAGCTCATCATATTCATCTGGTCATACATTCTTTCAATAAAATACACATTTTACTATGAGTAGCTAGAATCCAACTGTAGAAAAATAGCTTAATAAGACACTTTCATGTCTTAGATACAGTTCTAAGGATAAATTTAGCCTTTTAAATTGTATTTACTTGGGGCTGGCGAGATGGCTCAGCGGTTAAGAGCCTTGGCTGCTCTTCCGAAGGTCCTGAGTTCAATTCCCAGCAACCACATGGTGGCTCACAACCATCTGTAATGAGATCTGGTGTCCTCTTCTGGCCTGCAGGCATATATGCAGACAGAATATTGTATACTTAATAAATATTAAAAAAAAATTGTATTTACTTGGTGCTGCCTTGGCATAGCCTGTGCAATTCTCTGGAGACCTGGGGCAGCCCTTGATGCTGATGCCTGTGAAGATGGAGGTGTATGGTGCCATGGTGCTGCCCTAGGGCCAGCTGTAGGACATGGTATCCATGCATAAACAGACACTTGTATGTGAAACTGTCAGTTATTACTACATACAAAAATCTCAAAATTGTACTGACTGGACTCATTTTTAAAATGATAGCAATTCCAGGCTGGAACAATTCCTATATATTATGGAAGCAGTATGTATAATATTCCAATATACCTATGGCTGCTGGACACATACCATCCCATTTTGTTAAGCCTACTAGTAATGTGACTACTGAAAGCATGTGGTTCAAAATGGGAAGATCTACCTTCCAGCCTTCTGGAGCTTATTCAGGTTATGACTGTAATGTTTAGAGAAGGACTTTGCAGTGTTCTCCATCCTATCATTTCTACATCCTTTCCGCTGTACCTAAAAACAGGACCATCAATGACCTATATGCAAGGCGTGCCAAGGGAATTTCTATACTCATTTGGATACCTCTCCCTAATCCCAGTGGTTCTGCCAGCTGTCCTTACCCACCAGGTGGTCCATACTCTGCCACAAGTTCCCACTTTTCAGACTCCTGTGGTCAGAGATGACACAATCAGTAAAGACACTATCGGAGCATCTCTCAGCAGTCAGTGACAAACAGAGATGGCAGATGGAGGAAATGCATCATACCTAGGGAGGATTCAATGCCTTGAAACAAAGAAAGACCATAACAGATCACTGGAAACTAGAAGAAATGGTCACCCATTTAGATAAAAAGTAGCTGAAGTTGATCAAAGCAGAACTTGTGAAAAAAGATAAAGAATTAAGTTTTGCGCTGGAGAAAATGGAAAATTGATCTGAAAATGATACTGATGAAGTTATTCCTTAAACCTGTATGCAGAAGAGATGCCGTGAGGATACTTATCTTTTCCCTAGCAGAAGCCTCGAGAGGACAGTAATAGATCTGGAAATGTTTCTGATTCCTGTTTGTCTCCTGTCCTGTAAGTAGTTTCAGCTGAAGGCATTAATGCAAAAATCAAGAAAGACTGTGGATCAGTGACCTCCAGTGACTTGTGGTGCCAGCCAGAAACACTTCTTAAAGCATTCTTTCCTTGGACTGGAGAGATGGTTCTGTGGTTGGAGAACCCAGGTTCAATATCCAGTACCTACAAGGTGGCTCACAACCTTCTGTAACTCCAGTTCATCAGATCTGATGTCCTCTTCTGGCCTCTTTTGGAACTAGGCATGCAGATGGTACACAGACATACATACATACAGGGAAAGTACCCATACACACAAATGAACTTTATAAAAGCACTCTCAGTTTATCACTGAAGTGTAAAATATTTTGAATCAAGAATATATTTTTCTCTGTCCTTTGTGCAAAGACTGGCTTTTATTAATAGACTTTTATCCTTTGTAAACTATTTGTGCCGAATGTTGGAACTATGCTAAATAAAATCTGTTACATAAAATATTTTTGTCAATAAGCATTTATTTTTGTCTACAAAGTAGACATGCAACACAAGTTTAGGATCAACAAAGAACTCCTCACTCTTAAAGTGTATTTAACCACTCTAGAACTTAGGCAATGACCTTAATAGGCTTTACCTGTAGGAACACCAAGCAAAGACAGATAAAAGGTCATAGAGAAACTGAGCTATGTTAAAATCTCATTAGAAAAATGTTAGTCTAACAACAAAAATCAAAATTTTAATTTAAATCTTTTTAATTTTAAAGATTAGATCCACCGAAATATACTTATAATTTAAAAACATCACAGTATGCCTACTTAAATTTCTCAATGAATCAATATTTTAATACTTTTAATGTGCAATATGGCATTCCTGCCAATTTTTTTGGTAGAAAAAACATGGATAAATGTCCTTCTCCTTCCAAGTGTCAAAAAATATTAGGCAATAAAGGTAAAAATGCAAACCATAAAATCAACTAGTGTTTTTTTTTTCCACAATTCCAAACAATAAAAAGGTATGCTTGGTTTTGAAGTCTCTATGGACAATATAGTGCAAGACAGTTGATTTCTCTCTTCCCTCAGTTCCTTCTTTTTGGCTTGAACTCAAAATCCTCTTGCCTCAGCCTCCGGAGTGCTGGGTTTACAACTGTACACACTGCCTACGGCAAGATTTCTCATTTTACAAGTTCTAAAGAGTCTCTGCTTCAGGGAAAAGTCATTTGATCAATTACTGAATTATATTACACAATTCTACTTTAACTTAGTGAGCTTTGTCTAAAAGCCCGAGAAACAGAATCTTGGTTTACAGTACCACAGAAGCTAGTCTAGTACTCAGAATCACCGCCCCCCATCTGTGACAGTCTGACACAACAAAATTTATAATATACATCATACTTCAGTAGATAAATAGATCAAGGCTAATTAAAAGTCCTTTTAGGAATAAAATATCTCAGCCCTTTGTATATCAAATCTGAATCTGAAAGGTAAAGTAAAATAATATCCACTGTTTTCAAGTATACAAACTATGCCCTAGAGTAAAAAATTAAATGTCCTGTAGTTCAAGCCAAGGCTCTGTCGGTGAGGCTGTCAGTGAGGATGTGTGCTAGCAGATGGATCCTCCATGTTGAGGGTCATTCCTGCCGGCTCCTACAACAAAGCATCAGAAGCCACCCTAGGTCAGTAGGTCTGTCCAACCTCAGTTACACATTGGAGAAACAAATTATAGAAACATTTAAATAAAACTTACATGTAAAAATGACAACCATGTCAAAGAATGCCAGTAAGAGAAATACAGAAATACCCCTTCCTTCAGTGTGACAGACAGGCTTTCTTTCCAGTGTTACCAGAGCCAATATTCAGCCAGTGACTGCCTTTGAAGGACCTCTGTGTTTACACATCTCACAAGTGGGGACATGCTCTTGAGAAAAAAAAAAAATTTTTTCTGGATTCTGAACTCAGTGACCCAAATCATAGTATGAACTTTGTCTCAACAGGATTCCTAAGAGCAAAATTCCTTACTATACTGAATATACTGCCCTGGAATGTCAGTTCAGTGTTAGCCAGAGATATGGTGAGATCAAGGCCCAGCTTTATGATCCTGTGAAATCCATTCCCTAGTGCTTCCACTCTGATGTATTCCTTTTCCTTTTTCCTCTAGTATTGGTTTAAATTTAAAATTTATAGGAGTTTGGAAGATGGTTCAGCTCATAAGTGCTTACTACCTCAGCCCAACCCCCAGAACACTCATAAAAAAGACGGGCATGGTAATGTATGCTTGTAATCCCAGGGCTAGAAAAAGTGGACAGGGATGATGGATGCTGTGGCTCCCCAGTCACCGTAGCTTATGAGGGAAGTCCCAGGTCAGTGGGAGACTTCACCTCAAAAAATAAGGTAGATAATGCCTTGATGGTGACTTCTGGCCTACACACGTGTGCACAACTGCACTTACACCCACATACACATGTGCAGTCCACCTCCCAATACACATATATGTATACAATACAAACTGAAGTTCTAATATTTGTACAAGTTTTCCTAAACACATTAAAAGACACACTGATTCAATCTGAATCCTACTGTTTTGAAAATCTTTTAGGATGGCCAATTCAAAATTAGAAGCATCAATTATTCTCAATGAAAATAATCTACAGATTAATTCAATTCTACTAAAATATTGGTAGGATTTTCTTTTAACAGACAATATAAAAATTTTATTTTATATGCATGGGTATTTTGCCTGTATGTATGTATGTATGCACGTATGTACAACATGCATGTCTGGTGCCTGTAGTGGTCAAAGAGGGTACAGAATTTCCAGGAACTGGAGTTACAGATGGTTTCGAGTTATCATGTGAGTGCTGATAATGGATCTCAGAGTCTGAAGAGCAGCTAGTGCTCTTAACCATGGAGCCATCTCTATAAGAGCCCCCTCTTTTGTTTGCGGGGCGGGGGGGGGGGGGGGTCTCACAATGCAGTTCTAGCTGGCTTCAAACTCCCTATATAAACCAGGCTGGCCTCACACTCACAAAGATCCACATGCCTCTGCCTCTCAAGTGCTGGGATTAAAGATAGCAAACCAGGCTCAACATAATTTCACAATTAGTCTTTAAAGAATGCAGAAGAGGGTCAGTAAGATGGCTCAGAGGGTAAAGGTACTTGTTGCCAAGCCTGACAATCAGAGTTTGATCCCTGGGACCCATGGCAGAAGGATAAAACCGACTACCACTTGCATGATGGTACCCCAACAAATAAATGAATAAATTAATTAAAAGGGGGTAGAAATGAGACAGAGCTCAGTTGGTAGAGTGCTGGCTTAGCATGCAAACAACCCCGGGTTTGATCCCAAGCGCTGCACAAAACCCTGGTGGTAATGCATGCCTATAATCTCAGCACTTGGGAGATGAGGTCAGATAATCAGAAGTTCAAAGTCACCCTCAGCTATCTAAGGATTTTGAGGACAGGGTGGTCTACATAAGACTAGGCTGTTTGAAAAAAGAATTTGAAATAAAGGGGGGAAAAAAACTTCACAAATATTAGCAAAACATAGGTCAGTAATTCTATAACCAACACCAAGAAAAAGAAGAGTTTCCTATTTAGCATTCCCTAAAAGGTCTAAGGAGACCCAAGAAGATAGAAAAATTATAAAGAAACTGAAGGATACAGAAATTAGGCACTGGAAGATGGCTGAATGTCAGAGTTTTCCATCCTTAGCACTTAGAAGAAATAAATAAATGGAGGGAGAAGATACAAAATACATGACAAAGGTCTTATACTTTCAATATTAAATTTAAAAAAATTCTAAGGAGCTAAGAACATATAGCTCATATAGCCCTTATTAGACAAGCCCAAAGTCACAGGCGATTGACATCACTGCAATACAAAAAAGCTTATTTTCTAGAGAGTCTATGGTGGTTTGAACAAGAATGTGCATAGGCACATATATTTAAACACCTGGTACCCAGCTGGTGGAGCTGTCTGCCTGGGCAACATCAGTGGTACAGTCTTATTAGAGGTGTGTCTCTGGGGGTGGGGCTTTGATGCTTCTAAATCCAGTTCTTTTCCTCTCTCTGCTTTGAACTGTGGATGAGATGTGAGCTCTCAAGCCTGCCTGCTGTCATGCTCCCTACTGTGATGGTCATGGGTTCTAACCTTCAGGAAGAGTGAGCCCCAGTAAGGGTTTTCTTTCAAGTTGCCTTGGTCATGATGTTCTGTCAGGGCATTATTAAAGTAACTAAGACAAAGCTTGAATTAAGAATTAGTATGAAAACATTCTGTGTTGAGAAGCAGAGGCAAGACTGTGAGCTATGCTATACTACACAATACAATGAGACTACAGAAAACCAAAGAAAACACAAAATAAAATAGAGATAAATTGAGCAACTCAGAAGAATATTTAAAAACTTAAATACAACATGGTCATAAAAATTTATCTACCAATGACATAGAAAAGAACAGTTTTCTGAATATTTACATGATATTCCCCATTCTTGAGAAATATATGTTCTTGAGGAAGTATTTATCAAAAGGTTAAAACGGTATCTCTAAGTGTGAGACTGTATGCTTTCATATTTTTTCTTCCCATTTCCCTCCATCACTGATAACACCATCACAGCTGCAGCCACATACCTAGTAATGCTGTGTCTTCCCCTGCATCTTCTTTAAAACTGGGGCGGTGTGGCCCAGAGTCACTCGAGGAAGATGACGGAAGGTTGCTTTCTCCACTCCTGTCCTCATCTTGGGATGTCACACTGAGATTCCCAACAGAAACACTTCCTGGGGCAGCTTCTGGAATGGGCTCCTGTGTATCCTCAGGGTCCCCCTTGAAAGGCAGACAAAAGGCAATGGTTTTCTCAGTGACATGAGCACAGTGTGGGGTCAGTTCCTAGTAAGTTAACACAAAACATCTGACTTTCTACAGGTAATCTGGTGGGAAGCACACCACCTCTTCTATCCAATGTCATGATAAAAGGGGTTAATTCTCAAGACCTAAAAGGTTTGGTTTGGTTTAGTCTAAACACAGTCTCATGAAAGTTGTATCTGACCTTTTAAACTATTTAGTCACCAAGTGGCTCTTTCCAACTGTCTTCCTGTAGAGTCTGTGAACTTGTGCAGCCTCACTGATCCTCCCAAAAGAGGCAGTCAGGTGCCCTAATGACAGCCCCAGACAATTTTGCAGCACAGCACTGGGGTATCAGAGATAACCAGGCTCTAAACAGCTAAAGGCTTTAGATTTGTGTTTGTCTTCTTCCTTAGATATAGTGCCCTCCCTCTTCTACTTGATGCTTTGAGGGAAGATAATGAAAGGAAGGTCAGAGACTCCTTTAGCACCACTACATAAAGCCTCAACATCAGCGGGTGGGTGTTCTAGACATTTTTTTTGGTTAATCAAACAACTAAAGCTGCACGCAGGAAGATGAAACTGCTGGAAAATGACTAACGGCTGGTAGCTATAAGCATGGGAGTCACAGGCACAGACACTCAACTTCCTTGGGTTCTCAAGATGCCCTTGGTCTGCTCTATGAGCATTTTAAAATCACCCCTTCCTCCCTCACTGGTAACTAGACATCCTAGACACTCAAAACCGTTCTTCCCTGACACCAACTCCTAACACACTCCTGTCGTAATGTCACAATGCCAGTTCCTGTTCAGCCCCATCCCAACCTGCTTCTCTAAAACTTGCCAAACCCAACTACACACTAACCTTTAACCTGACAGTTCATATCCTTGTGTACACACCACCTACCTATTACACACTGAGTCAAAGCCCTCATCAGTTCCACTAAAATATACTCTCTCCATCTTTCCATGTCTAACAGGCAGTACAAGATCTTTCTTTTCTGATCCAGACGGCATTTACTATATTCCCTTGTTATGCTGTATCTCTGGATATGTACTAGCTCCATTGGGCTAGAAGAGAAATCCCCAAGAGTCCTTATCTAGCAAAGGAGCTATACCTTGCTTATCTCTGAGCCAAGCTCAGTGTAACATCTTGGATAGTATCCCTCTGATCAGTGTCTTCGCAATGAATGCAGTGGACACAGCTGCAAACCAAAGGACTGCCTTTAAAGTCTGTGTAAAGGGTTACTGGTAACTCTTGAGTGCTTATAAGGGAATAGGGACCTCTTAAAATTGAAACATTGAAGGACACAAATTCTTAGCTTTGAAGTTATAATAACTTTCTGTCCTTTACAAAGTAAGTCATATATATATATATATATATACACATACACACTCTGGTTCTCTATATTCTATCTTAGCACAAGCTTAGGAGTGGACCTAAGAAAGGGAGTTCAAGTCTTTTTCAAGAAAACATTTCACTAAATTCTATATTTTTTCATTTAATATTCTGAACCATTCAGCTTCTTGCTAAACTGTGGTTTCTATAGTAGAGGACAAGAACCAAGCACATTAGGGAGGTATGCTATACCAGGCTAAAGGGGACTGAAAGAAGTTTAGGTATTCTGTAAGAAAGACATTTCAGGACAAAGCAGGATGGGGTTGTGGTACAGTACTTCTTAGGTGCCAACCTTTCCTCCCTGAAGGGCTATTGCAAGAGAATTATGAACCACCATGTGAAACATTCTACAAGGCATGTCAGCAGCAAGAGGACACAGAAGCTAGAGGATGATGTCACACCTGTAGCCTATGAAGACAGTCTTGCTCCATGGGCAGTTCATTAGTGACACCATTATAGAAGCTTACATGGCTATTATGGCTTAAAGTTGCATAAAATGTACATCCAGTTTATGTGCTGTGGGGAACTGACTCTGAGGCTTCAATGCAAGATATGCAAGCTACATTCCCAGTCACTTCAAATTTTTATCTAAAATACTTTATTATTTAATCAATAGTATTTTGAGTAATAATAGATCATATGGGTAGGTATCTAAAAAACAAACAACAACAACAAAACAAAAAAATTTAAAGAAGACCTCTCCCCATATCTTCTCTACGTAGGGAAAAAAATAACTTATGTTTAAAGCCAATTCTTTAACAATTAGCTATAAGTTTTAAATTAGTAGAGTACGGACAATAAGAGTGCTTCATATAGAGGCTGTGAAGATGAAATGTGGCTAGACAGTCTCTTTCATTTTACTCTTACATCCCCTAAGAAAGGTCCTTGCCCATCAAACTATCACAAAATAATGGCAAAATACAGGGCAAATTTAGCCTGTATTAATGGACTGTGAAACCCAGCAACAGTGAACACAGATGTCAAAAACTGTAGAGTGTAATATGTGTAAAATGTATCTCTGAAGCCAGAAAATGTACAATGCTCTTCTGTTTCATACATTCTATGATTCAGGTTTACGTAAGACACACACACACACACACACACACAGACACTATACAGAACTATACTGCTCTAAGTAGTAAAAACTGGGCAATATGCTAGCATAATTTTTCTGTCATAAATCAGTTCACTGACTTTCGTGGACTACTCTACAAATTCATTTTTAATATAGAAAACTTCCTTAGGTAACAGCAAGGATACTAGAAGGAGCATTGTGTCTGTTCCTCTTGCCTCTAGTCAGTGATAAAAGTGAGATATTCAGAAAGAACTGGGGCAGAGATTGAATATAAACAAAAACGTAACAAACCCAGTATCCCAGGGCTTTGATGACATCAAGTTTACACATTGGACACGTTCGGTGATCCAAAAGCCATGGGTCAATGCATATTCTATGAAAAATATGCCTAAAAAAATTAAGTATGTATTAATGTCTTAAAATAAATGTTTCCATCTCTTATAAAGAAAATAATGCATTTTACCAACACATTCCTCCATTAACAGTTAACCAACAGTATAGCAACACTGTAGTCTAGTCACATATCTATTTTCTTTTCTACTTTCCATTTAAACAGATTTTGGATTTAATAGTGAAATGTTTTTTAAAAAATAAAAGCTTATCTTCATTCCACAAAAAAAAGGATGGATCAACTTCTACCACATACTAAGTACATCTTTTGTGCGCATTATATTTTTTTGAGATATGAACATACTATACACTCAAGTTAGCCTAGAATGTGCTATGTAGTCCAAGATTGCCTTTAATTTAGAATCCTCATACTTCTGCCTCCCAAATACTAGAATTAGTGTTATGTGCTACAATGCCCAACCACTTTTAATGTGCCTTAGTAGAATACTTATAAACCACTTAGGCTAGTAAAGCCCATAAATAAGCTATCGCTAATAAACTAATCCTAAACTGGTCATATCTTCTTTAAGTCTATAAATGACTCAAGTGAAAACACATGACAATACCTGTGAGTGGCAGGAAGAAGCTATTTCCTCTTGCGTACTTTTATGAACCCTTCTTTAATAAACATCTGTTGCTACCAGTAGAACACATACATGTTCCCTTCTTGTTGGTTTATCTTGGTTTCCTGCCCCTCCCATGTTATGTATGAACTTAAGCAGAGGCTTTGAAGCAGGACGGATTAGGCTCAAGCACCAGTTGTGACTAGACCACAGGACCACAAGAAGCTATGTATCGCCTAATTTCTATATCTACACCATGAACTTTTCACGGTGTCTACAAGTATATACCCAGTAACTGTTCATTTTTATTACTTTTTATTTTGGAGACAGGGTTTCTCTGTATAGTCCTGGGTGTCCTGGGAAATTGCTTTGTAGAGCAGGCTGGCCTTGAACTCCCTGAGACCCACCTGCCTTTTCCTCCTGAACACTGGGATAAAAGGTGTGCACTACCACTGCTCTATCTGAAGACTTTCTTTAAACAAAAAGCTGCAGAGCCATTAATAGCAATTCTTAATTATGAAACAGTCTAGTCCAGCTTATCATTTAACCTCAAATCAATACTGACTGACCCAGAAGAGGTTTCCAAAAAACAAGAAACTTCCAGTTTTGCTGGGTGATGTTTAACTCTACTCTCAGTGCTTTTCTGCATGCCGCGATCAACACAGACTGGCCTCAATTCATTGAGTGACTACTGTGCTGACCTTATGTAAATGCTGACAAATTTTAGACACTTTTCTCAGGGAACCCTTATTATTTTGATACTCATTTTTTTATTTCCTCAACAGAGGTATCAAGAAGGTAATCTTCTAAAACGTACCATAGTAAGAGTAAAATATTTTGGAAAAAAAAAAAGCAAATACACTAACTTGAAACTTGATTCTAAAATATGTAAAGTATAACTGAAATTTATCAGACTTTTAAAAAAATCTAATTTTTATACATACAACAAACTCTTCTGCTAATCAGCAGTTGTTTAAAAAAAAGTAGCAGATTATTAAAAATGAAATGGCTACTTCCAAGTGTTAAAACTCCACCTGTGCTACTAAAACCTGAGAAAAGGGAGGAATGTTTTTTACATAGCTTCAAAAGGAACCCACACCCAGGGCATAAATAATAGCAAACTACTGCCTACCTTTACCATTGAAGGCCCTAGGTCCTTCATCCTTCTTGATTCCTTTCAGTAGAAGTTCTGCTTCACTAGGTTTATAATAGAGTCTACACAAGCCCTGATAAAACTAAAAAACTAAAAGCCAGTCTAAAACAAAGATATAATGGATCATAGTGCTCACCTAAAAGTCTCTCAAGCAGAGAGACTTTAAGAAGTCTTGAAGACAATATGAAAGACAAGATAAATACAACCACAAGATCTTCATATCAGAAAAAGCCTGGAACTCTTTTGTCAGAAAACTAAAACTTGTTAAGTCATTTTTAGATTTTAGTAGGAGAAACTTATTCATACTTGCATGGCAGGATTCTGATAACATCCTTTACTTTAAAGTTTTCAATACACACTGCACAATTCTCGGCATCAACATCAATTCCCTGCAAAGAGAGTTAAGAGTTACACACACACATTACACATATAATAAGTTAGGAAAAAAAAGAAAGCCAACTAAAACAATAGATTCTACTCTATGCTGGAACAATCTGATCCAAAACCACAGATAACCACACTTGACATTTACTTCTTACCACTATTAAGCAGTTATTTAAAGAATCTGAATAAGGGGAAAAAAATTCATTGCCTAATCAGGCATTAGCAGTATTTTAAATAGTATGTTGTGTTTGAAAAAAATAGATTATTAAGGACTGTAGAAATACAAACCACATACTTTTTTCTTTTTTTGAGACAAGGTCTCTTGTTTTCAGGCTGGCCTCAGGTTCACTGTATAGCCAATTATAACCTTGATTTTTTGATAGTCCTGCCTTCATCTTCCAAAAGTTTAGATTATAGCAGTGAACCACAAAGCAAAGTTTATATGGGGCTGGAGATCAAACAGGACTTCATCAACGCCAGAAAACACTCTACAAAGTTAACTACATTCCAATCTTGCTGGCTATTACGGTTAAACAAAAATATTTTCAAGTATAAAACTTGAATATTCAAAGAAAGAAGCTATTTGTCTTCTGGAATTACTTAAAAGAAATCTGTATCTCTCTTAAAGAACAGTTACAACTTGGAGAAAGTACAAATGGCTACATATCTGAAATTTTACTTCATTAAGTGTTAACATCCACCCCCTCCTGATTAGAATGAGTCACCACTTTTGCCTAACAAATGAACAAAGGCATAAAAAAACCCAAAAAACAGAAAAACAAAAATTGCTGGCTGTAGGGTAGCAGAGTTGGCAACATTCCTACAACTAAGAATCTATAGGCCATAGACTTTCTGTGAGTTAGTAGGTGTCATTGTAGCCAGGACAACTAAGATACTGACACAGGGATTCAGGAACACAAGCAGTGTGTACTTCTGAGGCCACAATGTTGGCAGCTTCACAGTACAGAACACAGCCACACTATCCTTGAGCTGTTATTTAACCATACCCTTATCCAGGTGTAGCAATTAACCAAGAAGCAGTAAAAACCTTATTTAGTATGTACAGACCATTATCAAAGATTTAAAATTAACTTTAATAGCATTTTAAATTTTATGTTGTAATATTTTATGAAAGATTTTATTTTTTTATATGTATTCTTTGAGTTTATGTACACCATTTACATACATAAAGCCTCAGAGGCCAGAAGCACTGGACTCCCTCAACTGCAGTTATAGGTAGTTATGAGATGACATGGGTGCTGAAATCTAAAGCCAGGTTCTCTGCAAAGTAGTTAGCGCCATCTTTCCAGACCCTTAATTCTATGTTAGTAAAATTCTATGAAAGTAAAAATACTTTCACTTCTATTTCATGGTATGCAAGAAACTATTTATAGGGCTGGAGAGATGGCTCAGTGGTTAAGAGCATTGCCTGCTCTTCCAAAGGTCCTGAGTTCAGTTCCCGGCAACCACATGGTGGCTCACAACCATCTGTAAAGAGGTCTGGTGCCCTCTTCTGGCCTGCAGGCATACACACAGACAGAATATTGTATACATAATAAATAAATAAAATAAATATTTAAAAAAGGAAACTATTTATAATTCCTTAATAATTTACAAGCTTCCACATTATCACAAGAAAAGAAAAAAACTAAAAACACTTGTCTACAGAACTGGATAAGATGTAGACTGCAAAAACTCATTTTCCTGTGTCAGTTTATAGAATGTAGAAATGCTTTCAAATCCAGGCACACACCACAGATCATTTAGTGATCTTTTAAAAAATTATTTTGACAATTTTAAAACAGGTTCCTGGTATCATACTTTAATAAATGTTGGGTATAGGAAGAGAATAGCATCAATTTACTGGTATTCTCAAGGGCTTGGATCAGTAAGTTACACATATGAATCTGTCTTCTCACATGTAAGCAANAGAATTTTTTAAATATTTATTTATTTATTTATTATGTATACAATATTCTGTGTGTATGCCTGCAGGCCAGAAGAGGGCACCAGACCTCATTACAGATGGTTGTGAGCCACCATGTGGTTGCTGGGAATTGAACTCAGGACCTCTGGAAGAGCAGGCAATGCTCTTAACCTCTGAGCCATCTCTCCAGACCCCTAGAATTTTAAGTTTGTATAAAGTATTGATTTCTCCCCTGAAAATGAATGAATTTTTTTTTTGAGAAAGGGTTTCTCTCTTGAGTGCTGGGATTAAAGTCATGTGCCACCACCGCCCAGGGAAGAATACATTTTTAGAAATCAATTCTCACAGTCTCGATCAGCATCCAATTTATAAATCAGCAGAAGAATTTCCTATTTAATACCATGAAAAACTCTACACATACTCTGCCTGGCTAGTCACTAACTGGAAACTCTCCTGGTGATTTGCAGTGTAAGGAATCAATACTTTACATCAACTATTAAAACTCCACTATACTACAGTGTAAAAGTTATTGGGGGAATGATCCATCCATACAATCCCGAGCATACCTTAATCCTAAATATACCACAGAAGCCATTAATAACAGATTTAAATTTTTAACACACAGGTTTATAATGTCTTTTAAGAAAGTCCTGTAAGTAGGGCAGAGAAAGAGAAGGAAGTAGTTTCTTTTATATTCTTCCTTCCATGAAGGGAAGGTGAAACAGATTGAGTCTCAAAGCTTAATGAGCTAAATGAGCAGTATCGACTGATTCAGCTCACAGCTACAAGGTGACATGTTGCTGCAGAGGACGGCCCACTACGAGACCAAATGTTATTACATTAACAAATTTTCCTTCTAAGGGCTGTATGCTTGAGGAGTCAGTGCATCTGGAACAGTGACTTTATATCTCTGACTGAGGATGTAAAAATGGTTCCCCTTTAAAAGTACAGTTTTAAAAATACCTTTTCTGTCCTCTACAAATGTTTAGTGTTTTCCCTGTAATTGAGGGGCTTTGAGAGAATGTACAGTCTCAGATCCAACAGATGAATTTATAGTATTACAGGTTCATACTTTTAAATGCAAATCATCTTTATAGTCATTTACTTTGGCCTACTATAACTTTCAATGACAGGAATATTGGCACATTGTTGTCACTGGGTACATACAATGTAGGAACTATCTTTTAAATTAAATTTAATTCATTTAACCATTTTTGGGGGATGGGTTGCTGGGGTCAATCCAGGACTTCATGCATACTAAGTAAGGGCTTTACTACTGAGCCAGGACTGTAATTCATTTATATTTTAATAGCCATGTGACTAATAACTGCTATAATGGCGTCTTCATTCATTGTATTTCTGTCAGCCTTTTTTTAAAAATATTTATTTATTATGTATACAATATTCTGTGTGCATGCATGTCTGCAGGCCAGAAGAGGGCACCAGACCTCTTTATAGATGGTTGTGAGCCACCATGTGGTGACTGGGAATTGAACTCAGGACCTTTGGAAGAGCAGGCAATGCTCTTAACCACTGAGCCATCTCTCCAGCCCCCTGTCAGCCTTTAAAATATTGAAACACATGTATGAAGGCTTAGCAAAGTCTCACATGCTTGTCACTGCTGAAGAGTAGACTGGAAAGAAAGTATTTCTCAAACACATAAACACCCTCTAGTCTGAACCCCAAAGCACAATGAAAGTATTACCTTCTCTCCATGCTTTACAGTGTGTAGTGGAAGCTGGCCAATAACTTTCTTAGTTTCCTTTCTATGATTCTTGGGGAGGAAAACAGTATTATTAAGTAGTCTTTTAAAATAACCCACATAATACAATGTAAACAAAAGTTTTCATTAGTAAAAAAGTTAAATGATTACTATAAAATAAATTAGAAAAAACTTTTAATATATAAAAGAGCCATATAACATATAAGCTACTTGGTAAGAATTACTATTTTTCTTTTCTTTCTCCCTCCCTGCTTTTTGGAACTAATGCTTTACTCTAAAGCCCTACTTGGTCTTGAGCTCAAAACAACTCCTGTCTCAGCTTCCGAAACACTAGGATTACATGAGCTACTATGACCAGCTAAGAATGTATTCATTTACTTACTTGCTTATTTGCAATTAAGTCTAGAGTATCACATATGCTGAACAAGTACCCAACCACAGAGCTATATCCCCAGTTCAGGAATAGCTGCTTTTAATTTCATATCTGGAAAAGAACACTCCTTTTTTTTTTTTTTTTTTTTGATGTTGGAGTAGAACTGGAAACTCCTAGCACTCTAAACATGTGCTACCATTTAGCCACACTTTCACAACTTCCATAAAAACAATTCCTACACTTAAACACTGGCAAGAAAGTAACGATGCTCAGGAAGAAGGCACCACCCCCTCTCCATCAACAGTCTCCAAGAGTCCTGCCTGCTTATCAGGTCAGGAAGCCTACTGTGCATAGAACTGAGTGTGCTACTGGAAGCTCTGGCTCTTCTCTCTGCTCAAGAAAGAGTTTGCCTTCAGGTAAATGGCTTATCAGCTACTCTAGTGCAGACAGAGCTCCCCTTTGCTCCTCAGCTTTATGTCAAGCTAGAAAACAGGGTTACAGGGGCTGGAGAGATGGCTCAGAGGTTAAGAGCACTGCCTGCTCTTCCAAAGGTCCTGAGTTCAATTCCCAGCAACCACATGGTGGCTCACAACCATCTGTAATGAGGTCTGGTGCCCTCTTCTGGCCTGCAGGCATACAGACAGAATGTTGTATACATAATAAATAAATAAATATTTAAAAAAAAAAAGAAAACAGGGTTACATATGCTCTTTCTGTCACATGCCCTTTTGCTAGTCCTCTCTGTCTATAAAAAGACAAAGAGGGTACGGGTACCTATAGGAACCAAATGTACAAAAAGTGAACTAGACTTAAAAATACATTCCAATTAAAAAATTTATCAAAGTTATGAGTACTTAAATAACAAAACAAAATAGTGCACTTAAGTGTAACTTCAAGTAGTATAAAGAATATACTGATGAGCTATCATTTATAATGAACCAAACTGAATTAATAAATTAAAATGAATAGTTATCCATAACTACCTGACTTCCAAACTGTGAGCCAGCATATAGGAAACGCTGTATGTAATAGAATATTAGCCATGCTAATGAGATAATCATCATCGTGATGAAGGCAATGGCCACAAACACCACAGATTGACCACTGATGAATTCTTGCATATGACGAGTACCAATCCCTATGGTCATTTTTACTGGAATTCCTTTTTGTACCATATCAAAAATTTCTCGTCCTTTTGGGTAGCTAATCATAATGACAACTGTATTTCCCGTTCCTGCACAGAACAAAGAGATGAACAAAGGCAAAAGTTAGATAAAATTAAGAGTATGTTCATTACTACATCAAATACATTTGAAAACTTCAACAAGCTGGGCGGTGGTGGCACTCGTCTTTAATCCCAGTACTCAGGAGGCAGAGGAAAGCAGATCTCTGTGAGTTCGAGGCCAGCCTGGTCTATAAAGCAAGTTCCAGGACAGCAAGGGCTGTTAACCCTATTTTGAAAAACCAAAAAAGAAAACTTCAACAAAAATGAGTAATTTTCAGAAAAACATCAACTGCCAAAATTGGTTCCTTAAGAGAAAACAGGCTGACTGAAGCCAGGACACCATTTAGACCCACAGGTGAATCATCAGACCTTTAAGAAGCACAAAATACTAATGGTATTGTTTAAACTGTTCCATAGCTAATAAATTTTCTCTAAGCCAGGCATGGTGGACATAGCAGACTTCAGTTTAAAGATAAGCCTGGACTACACAGTAAGTGAAGGTCAGCCTGGCTACACAGTGAGACCTTGTCATGCACCAACAGCCACCCCGCCCCCACAAAAAAACCTACCCCCAAGAGCTCGATGTAGCTCAATGGTAGAGTACTTGCATAGTATGTACAAAGTCCAGGGTTCAAATGTCAGAACTATAAAAAGTCTAGGATTATAAAACTCAAAATAGTAATAAAAGGCAAAAGAATCATACAGATTAATTTCACTTATGAATATGAATGTAAACTGCTTCAAACATGCCCATTAGAATTAGGGAATATGTCTACAGAGTGGGTTCCAGAACCACCAAGGGCTATAAAGCAAAAGCCTGTCAAAAAAAAGGAAAGACAAAGGGAAAAAAAATTAGGGAAGATGAGAACTCTATTGTGATTACTACCATTTGTTTTTCTTGCCCTGAGACAGCATCTTATCTCATGATGTAGCTCTGGATGTCACAGAACTCATTACAGAGACCAGGCTAACCTAGAACTCACAGAGATCCACCTGCCTCTGTCTCTCCAGTGCTAGAATTAAAGGCATGAGCCATCTTGCTAAGCTTGTGATCACTACATTAATCCTTTGAAGACATGGAGCAGCCCTGAGACAAAAGAGGGAGGAAGAGAGAAAAAAGGGGTGGTGGTACAAATAAAGCTTCACTTTTATTATGACTAGGTATAAATTAATATAGCAACCACAAAGTATCAACAAATTACAAAAATACTCCAAGTCACATAGGGAAACTTGTTAAACAATGAAAGCTGGACTAGTCTTTACAGTTAAAGTATTAAAACAGTGTGGTAGTAGCAGATGAAGACATCCACAGAAATAAACCCAGGATAGCAAATGATAACAGAAATCAATTTAAGAGAAATGGCTTTAAAAAAAAACAAACAGATAAAGGCAAATGGTTATGATACTGGGGGAAAATCTACATGTTTGTCTCACAACACATGCCAAAATAAATAACTAAATCTAAGATGTTAAATATGTAAAGAAAAAGAAACGTACAAAATCCAGAAGAAGAGAATTAAAAATTCAATTAGAAAAATCCACCTAGAGGACTGTTAAGAAATGTGGCGGTGATAACGCACAACTTTCATCCCATTACTCAGAAGTCAAAGGCAGGCCAACCTGGTCTACAGAGCGAGTTCCAAGATAGCCTGGGCTACACAGCGAAATCGTCTCTAAAAACAAAAACTGATAAGCATTACCATCTAATTCTATACCATCCCATCAAGTTAAGAAGAAATTCTATGTCCATCCATTAGCAGTCATCTCCCAACAAATGAGTCTTAAATGTATGAAAACATGTTTTCAGCTATCTGTAACACATTAGCAAAAATGTAAAAGTTTCATATATTCTACTGGCAATAATATGCGCAAGTCAGCATTTTGTATACTTTGTATGTGTGTACAGGGCAGGGGAGAGGGGACAGGGAAAGAGGGAGAGATAGAATATGAATTACTCTTGTATGGGAGACCACTGTATCCAGAAACTTAGATGTATTCACATATAAACATGGCAGAATATTTGTAAAAATATTCTTATTCAGTGATTTAAAATTTAATTAAAGATGTTTACTTTATGCATATTAGTGTTTTGTTTGCATGCATGTTTGTGAACCACATATGTGCCTGGTGACTGTGGAGGCCCAAACAGGGTGTCAGATGCCCTGCAACTGGAGTTACAGACAGCTGTGAGCTGCCATGTGGATGCTGAGAATTTGAATCTGGGTTCTCTGAAGAGCACCCAGTGCTCTGAATTACTAAGCCATCTCTACAATTCCTTCAGTGAGTTAAAAAATAAAATCTTTTAAAAGTCAATAATAAGGATTCTTACTGTCAAAAGCATCCTAATGATGTCCTGATAATTTCAAAAAGAGATCGGCCCCACGTCAGTAAGACAGAATCCAAAACGAATGAACTTAGGTATTTGAGACTGTTCAGGAAGTGACTGGACATGCAGAGAGGACAAACACAAAGGCAGTCTTTTTATTTCTTTCTCTATTAGGGTATATGCTGCATAAAGGCATGAGGCTTTTTTCCAATGTTGAGTGTCTTTTTTTTTTTTTTTAAGACAGTGTCTCATGGCGGGCCTTGAATTCCTCCTGCCTCTGCCTCCTGAGTGTTGGGATTAAATATGCATTACGATGCCTGGCAAAAATAAAACAGATTTCTCTTCAGAAAACTCATGAATTTTTTTCACTAACCCCTTCCCAAAGTTTCAAGGACAGAAACCAAAATAAGGTGGCATTAACTGAAAACTGTAACTGTACCTACCACTTTCTTTGCTTTAAAAAAGTTTAGAGCTAGGAAAATGGCTTAGTAGTGAGCGCGCACCTACCAGGCATAAAGCTGATTTCTATTTCCAGGACCAGGGGAAAATAAGTTTAACATCCACTTATTAATACCAACAGTATGCCGAATTTTTTCCTTCAGTTAGTTTTCAACCCAGTTGAAGTTAAACCAATCTAAGTGAGAAAGGATAAACAAGACTAGTGTTTAAGGGGTTGGGAAGCTGTTTAGTGTGTGCTTAGCATGGAAGAGGCAGAATTTAAACCCAACTACCCTCTCTAAAAATATGTTTATTGTATGCTATATGAACGAGACAAACTCCTTAGCATGCTTGAGACTCCAGCTTCAGTCCCCAGTAACAATGAGAGGTGGGAAGCAGGCATGAAGAACTGGCTGCAGTTCTTCAAGATGCTAGGTGCCTCTAGCTTTGGCTGTTAACTGTGCCCACACCTTAGGCTCCCTTATTGATGAGGCTGCAGGCAGCACCAGCACACTCAAAGCATATTGATAGGGATAAAAGAATTAAGAAGCCTAGGTTTGGGGATATCATAAACATCATTTACTTGGTAAACAATGATAGAAATTCTGGTGTGGAGTAAATAGCACAAAAATAAGCAATGAGACTCCCCAAATATCACTGCTCAGACCATTTGAAGATACCATTTTCAAGTGGTACCAAAAAAGTCGTTTCTTCCAGAAGAGAACAAGTTTTGCAGTAATGCTGCTCAAAAATAAATAAATAAATAAATAAATAAATAAATAAATAAAAATCAGTTCTTTCTCTAGCTCTAGTCTCAGTTTAACAGATTTTAAACAACACACCTTGAGGGTTGTTTGAGATGACTTAGCAGAAAAGAGCACATACTGTTTTTGTAGTAATTTCAGTTACTGTAACTCCAGTTCAAGGGGATCTGATACCTTCTGGCCCCTTTGGGCACTTATTCACATATGGTGCACACAAACTCATAAAACCACAAATACATACATATACAAATAACAATTCTTTTTTTTTTTTTAAATAACATTCTTTCCCTGAATAAAAGGCAGGAGCCTACAGTCTGTTACCGCAGTGAACTGTGGCATCACTGATGGACATACGTAAATGAGGACAATTGTCTGGTTTCTATAAACCTAGCCACTTTGGCTACATGATCTCTTGGCCTCCTGGCTCGCTCTGGGCCTCTTGCTTCTGGTCCCTCTCTTGCCCTCTCTCTTCTTCCTCTCTTGCTCTCCCCATTCTCTCCTCTCATAGCCCAGATATATCTGGCTGTGCTCTCTCATATCTACAATAAATCTCCTCAACCATACCATAGGGCATCAAGCTCTCATTTTTGTGTGTTTGTTTTTCTCAAGAGAGGGTTTCTCTGTAGCTTTTTGGAGCCTGTCCTGAACTAGCTCTTGCAGACCAGGCTGGCCTTGACCTCAGAGAGAAGGCCTGCCCCTGCCTTCTGAGTACTAGAATTAAAGGTGTGCGCTGCCGTCACCACCACCTGGCATGTTCTCATTTTTTTCATTCATCTGGTGAAAACAAAGCGTGTACTATTTTATCTTGGTGACTTCCACTATAATCTTAGCCACAGGAATTTACTGAACTGCCAGAAGGGCACCCTTGTAAGGTGGCTTCTGTCTGCAAGATGATGCTGAAACCAGTTTGAGCCATACTAAAGGAAACTATGGTTTCTTCAACACGTACAATAATGACCCTGCTGTCACTGAGAAGACATACTGAGAGGCAGGTATTGACTACCTTCAGGAAAATATCCAGCAATCCAGAAACATGGATAGTAACAACTACAACACAGCTATAACCCACCTAACATTATGACAAGGTACAAGTTAAAGGCCTGTTAATAAAGAACCTTGCAGAACATTTCAAATAGAAACAATGGTATAATTCTGCCATCTTGGTTAAAAGCTTTCATACTGAAACCCAAGTGGCTTCTACACTACCAGTTGATAACAATTTCTGGTGCCAATATCATCACATTCTTTTTGACAATGAGAGATGGGGTGTGCAGGGGCAGGGGAGACCCATCACAAAACATATCGCGTAAAGCAGAAAGCTGCCATATTGTCATTTTACAGCTGCGGGCTCAGAAAATTTCAGGGAGTTGTTCAATGTTACACATCACCTCGAAATGCTGGTTCTTGGGGTTGGAAAGCTTATGTCCAGGCAGTATTCATTCCTTTAGCGTTTTCCATAGGGTGTGTAATTGCAGAGCCAG